CTTTCACCTTGACCAGAACCCTCTCACCTTGCAAATCAAGGCAAACCTTGACCAGTTGGCAACCCTAGATACAAATTCTTATTTTATATTTGTATAAATGTAATTTTACTTTATATTCTAACCAATCACAATGTTTAAATAGATAAACACAGTTATGATAAATTCTGTGACCAATAATACGTTTATAATATAAAAATGTTTGTTCAAAGAGTTTGGGATTAGGTTTTAAGAGATAAAGGGATTAATTGTTTGCCATTTGTATTGCAATCATATTAATCAGGGTATAGAAGGGACAGGTATTATACGGCTGACTACAGTATACTTTAATGTCAAACCGGGGCTAATGAACTGGACATTGAGTTTATAGACCAAAAACAGTAATTCTTTTAGTTTAAAAGTTTCGTCATTTTATTTGATTGAAACAAATATTGTTTAAAACTGTATTCAAACTTAAAATTAACACAATTTAATCACTGATCCGATGGCCAAAAATTATATGTCCAGTGATTCTGACTCTGATCTCGAAGTGAATGATGTGTTGACCGATAATAGCGGACAACCGGTCGATACACTCACTGACCACTCATTGCCGACCACTTCCCACAAGTATTGTATAGTTTTGGTTAATTTAAATACTTTTAATGATTGAAAATACTATTATTGCCTTTTAAACAGAGAGACGAGTGTCCGAACCAAAAGTGGTCGTCCGTTACGGCCAACCTTTGGCCACAAATCAAAGCGACCGAAATATAAGTAAGTGTTATATCATATAATAGACAACAACTTAATAATGTTATAATATTTTTGGCCACAAATAGTATTTCCGATACGAGTAATGATGAAAACGATGGACACGAAGAGTCTGACAGTCAGCCAACTCAGGCGGCTAATAGAGAGGGGAGTGTCCCGAACCAAAGTTATCACCCGTTATGGCTAACCAATGGCCGCAAATCAGGGCGAAAGCAATATAAGTAAGTGTTATATCAGTTAATATACGACACATTTATAATGATATAATTTTTTGTTACGATTAGTATTTCCGACGCGAGTAGTGACGAAGAGAGTGGACACCAGTCGACCGCCAGTCGGCCAATACGAGTGTCCGCCGATGGCATCCGTGAGGACTCGTGTCACGCGTGCGGTATTGACGGCTGCAAAGAATTCTTCGTATGGAAGAGACATCTTTCTGCCCACCGGACAGCTGTCCACCAAATCGGTAATTATCGGCTCTTTCCGTGCGACCGATGCCAGCATTGCTGCACCAATGAGACTGACTTGAGTGCCCACAAGTGGACACAGCATAAGCCACTTAAAACTCTTGTTGAGCCCAATGGACAGCGGACTCGGCGTTCAGACTTTGAGTGTAAGGATTGCGGCAAAAGATTTAAGTCGGCTGAAGGTGTGGGCCTTCACCGAGAGATTGTCCACTCAGTCCTCCCGATGCCTATCAATACTTCCGCATTCGTTGAGTCCACACAAAAAGAGATAAAAAAGGTTAACTCTTATCTGAGAGATCTCTATCAACGTATGAATATTGTTGCGAATAACTCAATATAATATTTAATGATTTAAACGTTAATGATAGTGATTTATGAATGTCTAAACATATGCTTACTCAGTGGTTTTATATTGTATAACAAATGTTAGCATCATTTTAATTTTCCGGAATATTTATTTTACCATAATTAAATGATTAATACAACAAATAAATAAAATGAATTATAATTACTTTAAACTTTTATTGAAATGAAAACTAATTTATTTCTCAATCAAAAGCACACACAATGTCTGGACAGCGACAGGTCTGGTAAGCGACAGATTCCGTACGGCGGCCGACGCTTACATTTGTCGGTTTGAAACTATCTATCAGTTTGAATGCATGGACAGGGAGTCAGAGCGGGAGGGCTGGGCTCTGGTGATGCACTAGACGGGCGTCGGTCTGTCAAGATTTGACACCGATTTATACAATTTTCAGATGAGTGACCATTTGGTGTCTGTGGCGCTGTTGTTGTTGCCTATCGGCCACTGTCTAAACCTATACTGTTGGGTCCGATAATTGCAATGAAATAGTTTTAACAAGTTTTGTTGAATTAATTATGGATTTTATTAGCAATAATAAATTGTATTTACAATAACTTTTCATCATTATCATTTTTCAAACATGTTTATAATTATAATGTTGTGTTAATTCATATTTTCTAACAAAGCGTTGATTACAGTTATTATGAATACATTTATGAAGTTTTATATTCAAATGTCTATTAATGTGAACTTTGAGAGTAGATTTACACGAAAAACATTTGTTGCAACCATTGAAATGACAAACAAATGGTTTTTCTCCCGAATGTATGCGTTTGTGTCGATTTAAGTCTGTTTTTGAAAGAAATTTTTTGCCACAATTTTCTTCATTACATTTGAATTTCCATTCATTCAAATGAACACAAGTTTTGTGGAGAAATAATTGGTCTTTTCTACTAAAACTTTTGTGGCATTCATTAAAATCACAAATAAATCTCACATTTAAATGAATATTAGTTATATGGTGATTTAAGTTATGTTTTAATTTATAACTATTATTACAATTATTAAAATCACATTTAAATTGTTTTATTTCTGAATGAATTAATTGATGTCGAGTTTTGTATATTTACTTATTGTCTTGTATTGACATTTAGGCCAAAAACAGTGAAAATAATC